TCAAGATGGATTTAACTTTGCATCCTACCCTCCATGGCATTGAGGATGCTGGGATGGAAGGTGTACATAAACTAAGCATCCCATCCCAACACTAGAAGGGCCTTTGAGGACTCATATTCCAAGTGTTGTTATGTGCCTTCAAGTGGGCACTTGACTTATGTTGACCCTTTTCTAAGGGTTTTATTGACCAGATTTCTTCAGAGGAAGTTTGGCATTGCTTTCCTCTGAGGATAAGAAAATGTGACTTGCCCAAAGTCAGCCAGTAGGTTTGTTGAGCAGGGATTTGAGACATTTCAGTGCCAAGGGTGCAAATTACATGCTTTCACATTTATGGAGAAAATATACAGACCTTTTGACCTTGATCGGGTCCAAAATCTCCATCCATTGCGTCTGATTCTTGCTTCTAAAGAGAAAGCACATTACTTGTCTTAATGTCTTCTTTAACATTTCCCCCCTTTTCTGTCTCATCATTAATAGTGCATATTTCAATCTGAGCCATTAGGAAGATTTTAAAGCAACAGAAAACAATGGGAACTTGCATAATTGCAAAGGGTGATTGCATTATCTCATGAACATCTAGGCTCCCTGAATCGGCTGCAACCTGTACTGGAGTAACACAGGGAAATCTCATGACTTTGGCACAAACGCATGACACCCGATCAAGATTTACAGGCCTAAAATCCCAGGAACAACTGGAGTCATGACAAAGCAACCCATTTTGGAATCCACAAAAATTCTCACCCCAGATCCTGTAGAATGATCAGCCCCCAAAATATTTGTAATTCTCTTGAGATCGACTTGGGATTCCAGAAAATACCCACGTCTTACAAATTCAGAGTGAGTGTTTGGGAGTCACTCCATCTAGACCAGAGCTTGGAATAGTCACTAATTTAGACTACAGATCCCAGAATCTCCCAGCAATGAGAGCATTCTGGCAATTGTAGTGCAAAAAAGTAAACATTCAGGAGTGGAAGGGGCGTCCACACTATGCAGTTATAATACTTTTGGCCCATCCTATGGAAACTTGGGACTTGTTAGAAATTGCTGCTAGAGAGCTCTAATGCTGTAGTGGAGGGAAGTGCCCTAGAGGATTTTAAGTACTTTGCTAGATTACAAATGTTAGGATTCCATGGGACAGAACCATGGCAGCTAAAGTGGGATAACAATGCTGTCACTGTGGATTTACTCTCTTTCCATCTTTTCAACTGTGCAAACATTTACTCATGTTCTTTGCCCCATCACTAAAGCAAGGACACCTTCCAGGCGAAGGCTGCATCTGCACTGCAGAATTAATGCAGTTTGACATTGTTTTAACTACCAGGGCTCAATGCTATG